CTGCAAGGCCTGAGGAATGTTGTTCTTTAACCTTTTATTTCCCAGCAGAAGCAAAGCAGGTGTACAGAAGCAAAAAGAGCTGTTAGCTCCTGTGAAATGGTCTAAGCCAGTTGTGACAAAACTACTTCTGCAAAATATTCTTAATATTTCTGTTGCAACCCATTTCTTGTAAAGCTAGGCGTTTTATTGCCTTAACGGGAAGTTCTGCTTAGAGTCCAGCTGGAGTAGCCGAAGTATGATTTTTAAAAGTGAGTCTGTCTGGCTGAGTCTGTCCGGCCTAGGGTCCGGGCCGAGATCCTTACATCTGAACTGGGGCCCTCTGGCGTCCCAAGCCAGCTCTTAACCAACACGCCACTCGGCCGGCCTAAGGCAGTCTTAAATATGAGGTCGTCACCTATTTTTTCTGAAGAAAAGATCTGAACAAAATTTTTGGCTAATTTGGAAAGTAGATAAAACAGTCCATTTATGGTATAAATTCATCAAGATTTCTTCCTCATTCTTAGCTAATGGCTTTGTTTCCTGTTTGCTTGAGAAAACAGAAGCAGCAGAAGAGCCCTCCACAAATTCCCTCCACTACATCTACCCAGTGCCAGCATCTGTCACCATATAGGCTTATCTGATTTTTGTATTATATTCCTCTTGTGCCTACTCAAGATCATCACCCTAGCAGTTTTCTTTTTCTTTTTTCTGCATCATCAATTTTGTCTTCTATACTGGATCATTTGCACCAGTATAATGTAGTTATTTTTCCCATGAAAAAAAAATTCTCTTTGACCCTTCTTTGTCCAGCATCTAACACTCCATCTCTTCGCTCCCCTTTACATCAAATCTTCTGGCCATACTCACTGTCTCCAAAACCTCTTCTTGGAGTCTTTTTAAAATCCATCCCACAAGGCTTTAGATTCTACCACTCCACCAAAACTGTTTTTGTTAAGGTCACTAAATTTGCTGAAATCAGTAGTGACCTCTTAAAGTTCCTCTTACTTGACCTACCAAGAAGTGTTAGTTCATCTTTCTTCAAGAAGCCCTTTCTTACCACTCGCAGGTCACCAACCTCTCATGGTTTTCCTTCCACTTTGACTGCTTCTTCTAAATCTTTTTTGTTGGTTCCTCCTCATCTAAATACCCTATACCAAATCTTTGCACTGCTTCTGTGTATCACAACCATGGCAACCTCGTCAAACCTGATGATAATTCCCAAATATCCAGCCCAGACCTCTTCTTTGAACTCCGGGCTGCTACATACATGACAACTCCACTGTGTTTTAATAGACGTCTGGCACAGCTTAATGTGTCCAAACCTGAAATCTAGATCTTCCCCCACAAACCTCCCTGCTGATCTTCCCCTCTCAACTAATGGAAACTCCCCATCCTCCCTGGGATTCATATCAGAAACCTGGGAGTCATCCTTGACTTCTCTTGTTTGCTTAACACCCAATTTAAATGCCAAATGCCAGAATTATGTTGATTCAACCTTCAAAATATATCCAGACTCCAACCTCTTTTCAGTACCTCTAGTTGCTACCATCCTGGTCCAAGCCGTCATCAACTCTCCTGTGAATGAGTCCATGAACCTCCTCACTGGTCTGCTTCTGGCCTTGCCCCTAGTCAGTCTCTTCGCAGCAGGTAGCCTGAGTTAAGTCTTCTGCTCAGACCTCAGGTGGCTTCCCATCCTGCTTAGAGTAAAAGCCACAGTCCTTACTGTAGCCTGCAATGCCAGTGAACTATCATTTTACCTGTCTATGGATCTTTTTTTTCATTTCTACTGTCATATTTTTCATATTCAAGAGCTCTTTTTTGCTCTCTAAATGTTCTTTTTTTAAAATAGTATCCTGGAGGCTCATAATTTTTTGAGGATAATGTGATTTGTTTTTAAGATTTTTGTCCATATTGTCTTTTTCTTTTGAGCTCTTTTTTTTCTGTGTGCTTTTGGTCACTGTCTCATGTTGAAACCTCCCCTCAAATGTCAAGAGATCCTTATATTGTCTGTTCACATTTGAGTTAGGCATTAAAACGCTAATTTTAGAAACTTTTATATGTACACATAAGGACTTGCACATCAAAGGCTTCACTTTAGGCTTTTGAAGTAGAGAGCAGACCTGCTTTCCGTGGAGGACCTCCTGCTGTTGGTATCTGCAGGCCTTTTCCCTTTGGTTGATCAGTTTTCCCCAGAGGAGAGGAATCCTCCAAACTTTTTCTGGGGTGGGGTGGAGGTGGGTGTCAGTGGGTTAAGCTTGGCTTCAAGTTCAGTGTGTGGACTTGTTTAGGACCCTCTCCAGAGCTCTGCCTGGGATTCTAGAGTGGGGTGCCCCTCTGGTTAATCCTCTCCAGAGACAAACCTGAGTTCCTGCTTGGGCTAATAACAAGATCCAGGGGTGAAACTGCTTCGTACACACAGGCTTGCAAATAATTCTGTATTTCATCTCCACCCAGCACTTCCCCCTTTCTGATGCCTCTCGTTCTCATGCCTTTCTGGAGTTTGTGCCACCGGCTGTTTGTGTCTTAACTTCCCCACCACAGGGCACTGCTTCTCTGCTTTGTCTGATCTGTTGATACATTTGCTACTCACCTGCCTGCTTTCCATTGTCTAAAATGTTTTGACATCTCTTGTCTATCATCATCGCTCCTATTCTCTGTCTTTGTGGGTGCACACCTTTTGACATGTATTTGCTGTTATTTTAGCGGGGTTTTGAGAAGGGAAGGAAGTAGATGGATAAATAGTAGATGGTAGAAGGAAGTAAATGTGCCAGTGGAGGTAGTTCTTTCCCAGTAAATGTTTTAAAAAAATTATGAACAGAGCTGTTGTTAAAAAAATTTTCGGGCCGGCCAAGTGGCTTGTTGGTTAAGAGTTGGCTTGGGAGTGAGAGCTCTGAGCAGCAGGGCTGCCAGTGCAGATCCCACATGGGCCAGTGACGCTGCGCCCTCTACAGCTAAGATGATGAACAACAGCTTGACCTGGAGCTGGGCTGCCGTGAGTCCCCGGCGACAGCATAGGCTGCAGTGGGGCTGCCGTGAGCTGCTGTGAACCTTTGTGAGCCTCCTTGAGCGGCTGTCCAATGGCCAGCGACCGATCTGCCTCACCTGGGAAGAGCGCAATGATAATACCAGCATGGGCCAGTGAAGCGACGTCCTCCACAACTAGACTGAAGAACAAAAGGACAGCAACTTGTCTGTTCCCCTTCCCCCAATTCCCCAATAAAATCTTAAAAAAAAAAAAATTTGTAACAACAGAAATGTGTAATGTAGGAAACATCAGTCTCTTACAATCCCACTCTGAGAGAGAACCACTGGTAATAAATAGTTGGGTATTTTGGAGATTTTTTCCAGGCTTCATACATGTAATACAATCATTTATGTATGTACGCACATATATGTTCATATGTATATGTAAAAATATGTGTGCACAAGCATTTTAAAATATATGTAGTTGGCATATATCAATTCCAACATCAGTACTGGGAATACAAAAAAATATTAATTTTTATAAAATGGTATATTATACATACTGTGAGGTAACTTAATTTTTTACATAACAATTTTTTGGGGCATGTCTCCATTTCAGTATCCTTAGCTCTGCTTCATTCATAAAAAAAAAAAAAAAGACTGCATAGCTTTGACTGAATTTAACCTGCCCTCTTTTGATAGGCATTTGTGCCATTCTTTATGTTATTATGACTAATAAAGAGGTAAATTTCTGTATGAATATCTTCGCAGGCCAGTTTATTTATTTATTTATTTATTTTTATTTTTTTAAGTTTTAAGTGGGTGAGGAGGAGGTACATGTTAGTAACCTGCAGAACCATGAAAAGAAATTCAAAGTGATTGACAGGACCAGAGTTCTTGAGTTATGAATCGCTTTGACAGTGCCTTGTTAGCATCATGGTGCTGCTCTTCTGGTTTTTCTCTTGTTACCTTTTTCTCCTCTTTATTTTCTCTTACTTATCCTCTGGCCAGATTTCAGTTAAACTAATATGCTCTATTCCTGATATGTACTAGGAATACCATTAGGCATTGGCTTATTTTGTAACTTTTACTCATGTAAACGAGAAGCGAGCTAAAAATTTTTACTAATCAAAAATATTTTTTAGTATGGTGAATGAAAAAAATTGAGAATGATAATTCTCAACTCACTGGTGGTATTTGAAAAGTCAGAGTTTTATTTTACTTTAACATCTTTAATTGGTAAGATCTGTAGTATAAAAATTTTAAGCCTCATTTCTAGTTTCAATAGCACTACAATTTTAATCTGAAAAAGTTGAATATGTCTATTTTCAATCTATTTTGGTGTTATCAAATCATGAGCCACACTTTTCTATGAGAAAGCAATGGCAGTATGAAACCGCAAGTTGGGTATAGATACCAGCTGCAATATCATCATGTATCTCTGTTTTTTTCATTGCTGTAGGTTTTACTATGAGCAGAGATTACTACGGAACATCTTTGAAGAATGGAAAGAACAGTGGTGGGTTTCACATCGAGAGTGGAAACTCTGTGTTCGAGCCGACTGTCACTACAGGTCCGATTTCATTTATGTTGCTTCAAGAGTACTGATACAGGTTATCAAATAATTACTTGTTGGCATTTTTCTGGTCAAAGTGAGAAAAGTTCTGAATCGTTTTCTGTTTTTCTTCAAATGTAAGCAAGATCAAAATACTAAATTATACCCAAGCACACGTGCACGTGAGCGCACACACCCATAGAGATACTCCTCTAATTCAAGTAACCATTATGTGTTGGTCATGCTAATGATTTGAATAGGGTTTTCTCCCTGACTTTCACTTCTGTATAATTTCTAATTCTGGGAACATTCTATTCTTTAACAGAAGTTGTTTTAATTTATACTGATTGTAGGAGAAAATAATATGCCCAATATATTTTACACATCATATGTTGAAAATGGTGTTCACTCATCATAATCACTTATTTAGGTTCTTTAGGGCAAGGGTTCCAATTTATGTATTTATATATCTCAGATAAAATAGACATGTTGAATAATTCTGATTAGCTGGTAGAGCATGAAATCAAGTCTTAGAAAGTGGGCTAGTGAAAACATGGAGGGACTGACAGTCTTAACTGTCTAGTGTATGCATGATCTTAATGTGTCTAGTGTATGTATCAACAAGGAAAAGAAAGAAAGTGTCATTGACCATGTTTTAGTGCAAAGGAGAAATAATGTTTTACATAGTGTGGATATTAAGGTGATTAAGATATGACTGTCATTGCCAACATCACAGCTTTGTGGATGATGAAGGTGAAGATATTCTCAGAGATGTAAAGCCTGTTTTTCTTCAGTGACACAAGTGTGGAGAACAAGTCTCCGTCAAGGACAATAGGTTTCACCAGGATTGTATGAAATGGAATTTTAGTTTGGGATGTAGATATGAATTTTTTTGTGTCAGAGGTGTTAACATCTCCTGAGTACAGAACAGACTGGGTGTATCAGATTAGGAATTGTTTTGTTTTAAAGAAATGCCATTTGCTTTTTTGGCTTCTCAGATATTACTTGTACAACCTGATGTTCCAGACCTGGAAGACCTTTGAGAATCAGCAACAGGAGGCAAGGAGCAAGTACTTGAAAGCCGAGAATCATGGTAAGGAAAGGAAGTGCCTATCTAAAGAAAATAAATGCCCACACTCACTTTTTTTTTTAAGACTTTATTTAATTTGATGGTTGCCAGATGGGAGAGAGGTTGGGTGATGTTTGAAGGGAGAAGGGATTAAGAAGTATAAATTGATAGTTACAAAATAGTCTTGGGATGTAAAGTGCAGCATAGGGAATATAATTAATTATATTATCATAACTGTATGGTGTCTAAATGGGTACTAGATGTATCAGGGTGATCACTTTGTAAGTTATATAAATGTCTAATCACTGTGTTGTACACCTATAACTAATATAATATTGTATGTCAACTATAACTTAAAAAAAAAGAGCCTTTATTTTTTAGAAGCAGTTTTACATTTACAGCAAAATTGAGGATAAGATAACAGTGACTGCTATATACCTTCTGCTCCCACACATGCATAGCCTCCCCCTTTAGCACTATCCCCCACGTTTTTGGCCCAAACATTCAGGGGAAAAAAAGCTTTCGTTTTAATTTTTTAATTCAAATTTTTATTTGTTTATGTTTAGGTGGTTGTTTTTTGTATTATAAAGGAATTTTAGCATTTATTTTTTAACATTATGATACAAGAAATTTTATGTAACAAATAATTACAACACTCAAGAACAGATACAAGGTACAAGAAATTTTGTGTACCAGTAACAAATTTACACATCACAGAAGGCCAAGAACTCCATCATTGCAGGTTTGTCGTACGTTCAACAAAACCAATTAGTGTATTCCAGGGTATTATTTTGCATATGGATATCATTATTGATTTCTAGAATTACACTTTTAACTCATAAGCATAAATAAAAGAATTAAAAACATTTATGTAGATATGGAATTACTACTGCCCATGTATAATGCGCATTCTTCTTTTTCCCCTACAGATTTAGGTAAAAAAGTACACATGCACGGCAAAACATGGTATATAGATTCCATGGCATTTTCTCTGCAGACAGTCATCTATTTGTGAACAGAGACAGTTTTATTCCCTCCTTCCCAAAGCTTTTTTTTTTTTGCATCAGCTAGGGCTTCTAGTACAATACTGAATAGGAGTGGTGAGAGTGGACATCCTTGTCTTATTCCTGATCTTAGGGGAAAAACATTCTGTCTTTAACCATTAAGTATGATGTTAGCTGTAGATTTTTGTTGATGTCCTTTATCAGGTTAAGGAAGTTCTCTTCTATTCCTAGTTTTCTGAGCATTTTTATCATTAATAGATAGTTGACTTTGTCAAATCATGTTTCTGTATTTATTGAGATGATTATGTGCGTTTCTTTCTTAGTCCATTAATATGATGAATTATATAGAGTGATTTTTGAATTTTGAATCAGCCATACATTTCTCAGATTAATGCCACTCTTTATATATTGCTGGGTTCAACTTGCTAATATATTGTTGAGGATTTTTGCATCTGTGTTTATGAGGGATATTGGTCTATAGTTTTTGTTTACTAATGTCTTTGTCTGGTTCTGGTTCAAGGTAATACTGGCTTCACAGAAAGAGTTAGGAAGTATTTCAGTCCCCTTATGTTTTCTAAAAGAGACTTGTAGAATTGGTATTATTTCTTCTTTAAATGTTTGATAAAATTGTCCAGTGAAATCATCAGGGACTGGAGTTTTCTTTGTTGAAGAGTTCTAAACTTGGCATTCAATTTTTTTTTTAAGGCAGTAATTTTTTTTTAAACTTTTTTATTGGGGAACAGTGTGTTTTTCCAGGACCCATCAGCTCCAGTCAAGTAATTGTTTCACTCTAGTTCTGGAGGGTGCATCTCAGTGGCCCATGTGGGGATCGAGCTGGCAACCTTTGTGTTAAGAGCACTGTGTGTGCTCTAACCGCCTGAGCTAACCGGCCACCCTGAATTCAAATTTTTTAATAGATTTAAGACCATTCAGATTATCTATTTCTTCTTGAATGAGTTTTATGTCTTTCAAGGAATTGGTCCATTTCAAATATGTTGTCAAATTTATGGGCATAGAATCATCTGAGGTATTTTATTATTATAATTTTAATGTCTGCAGGGTCTGTAGCAATAACCCCTCTTTCATTCCTGATATTGGTACTTTGTGTCTTTAGCCTTTTATTCTTGGTCAGTCTGGTGAGAGCTTTTTCAATTTTATCAATCTTTTCAAATAACTGGGTTTTGCAGTCATTGATATTTTCTATTGTGTTTCTGTTTTCAAGTTCCTTGATTTTTGCTCCTATATTATTATTTCATTTCTGCAAAATTTGGTTTTATTATGCTCTTCTTTTTCTACTTTCTTAAGATACAGTTCACCTTGTTGATTTGAGACCTTTCCCTTTTTACTAACATAAGCATTTACTGCTGTAAAGTTTCCTTTAAGCACTGTTTTAACTGCATTCCACAAATTTTAGTATTTTGCAGTTCTGTTTTCATTCAGTAAAAATTGTTTTCTAATTTCCCTTAAGACTTCCTTTTTGACCCAAAGATTTTTTATTTAGAAGTGTGTTTAGTCATAATATTTGGGATTTTCCAATATCTTCCTAGTATTGATTTTTTAGTTTATTCCATTCTGATCAGAGAACAAGACTTAGATTTTATTCTTTAAATTTGTTAAGGTTTATTTTGTGGGGCAGATAATGCTCTATATTGTGTATATTCCGTATTTACTTGAGTGAGTATTCTGCTGTCTTACATTGTTATTTGTATAATAATAAAAAATACAACCACGTTACAGAGTAGAAGGAAAAGTCACTTAGACTTTTAAGATAAAAAGAGTTATTTCTGACATATAATATTGTTTCAGGCCATGTCCACAGACCCCAGGGAGTGTCCATTCACTCTCGCACTATTAAATAAAATGTCTGGGGGGCGGCCGGTTAGCTCAGTTGGTTAGAGCGCAGGCTCATAACATCAAGGTTGCTGGTCCTATCCCCACATGGGCCACTGAGATGCACCCTCCACAACTAGATTGAAACAACTACTTGACTTGGAGCTGTTGGGTCCTGGAAAAATACACTGTTCCCTAATAAAATTTTTAAAAACAAACAAACAAAAAAACTGCAAGTACTTTCAGGGCTTAGGGAAGAATTGTTCTCAAATTGTCATCACAATCATGGTAGAGATGGTTAATGTCAATTCCTGGTTTCCACACTCAGAAAATATTGGAAACACTTCATAGATAAAAATCTCATTTACTCTTAGCAAACATACATCTAAGGGAGGCACCATTTTACAGATAAGGAACTTGTGCAAGGTTACTTAGCTAATAAATGACATGGTCAGTATTCAAACCTGGCTTGTCTTACTCAGGATCCCAAACTCTAAACCATAGCACTATACCACTCCTTGTTGCCAGAGGTGTGCTGATTCCTGAGGTCTGGGGTAGCTTGAGGAAGCTACCTGTTAAATTTTCCTTTATATGTATATATATATATATATATATATATATATATATATATATATATATATATAATATTATATATAATAAAATATATTAATATAGTTTTTATATATATAAAATATATATATATATATTTTAAGATTTTATTGGAGGTTTGGGTGAGGGGAACAGCATTGGAGAATTGGGGAAGGGGAACAGACAAGTTGCTGTCCGTTTGTTCTTCAGTCTAGTTGTGGAGGACGTCACTTCACTGGCCCATGTTGGTATTGTGATCATTGCACTCTTCCTGGGTGAGGCAGATCGGTCACCGGCCACTGGACGGCTGCTCACGGTGACTCTTGGCAGCTCACACTGGCTGCCAGCCACTCATGGTAGCTTATGACAGCCCACTGCAGCATCACTGCAGCGTACGCCATCGCTGGTGACTCACGGCAGCCCAGCTCCAGGTCGAGCTGTTGTTCACCATTTTAGCTGTAGAGGGCGCAGCATCACTGGTCCTAATGTGGGATCCAAACCGGGGCCCTGCTGCTGAGAGTTGGTGTCCTAAGCCGAGTCTTAACCAACGTGCCACTCGGCCAGCCCATTTTCCTTCATATTTTGAGTCAACTTGTCAACAACTGTGAAACACAGTATAGCTCAGTCCTACTGACCATATTTTGGAGAATGTTCTAAAAATGGTTTACATAATTTAATCTTCTCCTTTGTGTTCTAAAAAGAAAATAAACTTACTTCATTAGTGACGACTTTCATAATAAAAATGGAATTTACTGCAAAGGGACACCTATGGCCCGTTGCACCTCCAGAGAATTCTCTTTTCTCCAGGATCATTACGGTCCTTTTAATTGTGTTTCCTAAACAGATACAGATAATATCCTTTCCTTTTGTCTTGTTTATGATACTTTACAATTATTGTTTCAAACAGCAAGTTTTATAACATTTTGTCTTCTCTCTCAACTTTATATTTTGGAAAATTTTACATATTTATAAAATTGGAAGATAGAATAATGAACCTCCACATACACCACCCACCCAACTTCAACAATCACCAGCTCACACACATCAACTCACTGCTCTGCTTCTTGTGTTATTCACATCATTTCACCTGTACATATTGCATAGTATATGTCTAAAAAAAATAAGTGCTTTTAAGAAAAAGGATTTCTGAACAGTGCAGTGTGTTGATTTTCCTTTACATACTTTGTAAATGTCATCGCTTATATAACCCTTCTGCACAATGTACATGCATCCTTATTAATTTCGTAGAACTTCACAACTTTTTCAGCAGGGGGCACTCGAAGCCTGGAGGATTTAGATATTCAGAGGGATGAGTACAGAGAGCCCATGAGCTTTTATCATAACCCAGAGTAATCCGTTTCCCCATACCCCTTTTTGAAAATCTCTTTGGTGCATCTAGATGCAAAGCAAAAGATGCAGCAGGCCTGGAAGTCCTGGTTGATCTATGTAGTTTTTCGAAGGACCAAACTTCAGATGCAGACCAGCGCCCTGGAGTTTAGGCAGCGGAGTATTTTGTGGTGAGTGCACTCAGTTGCCCTACAGATCAGCTGTCATTTTACCTCAACCTTGCTTTATGCTGTTGGAAAGCAGCACAAAAACCCACCTTAAAACAGTTTCGAACATAATGGATACCTAATAAATACTTATTGAAAACTTGTTCAACTATAAGATCAGGTTTTCACATAATCATAAAAAGCACTCATTGCTTCTTATGCTAAACCCTGTGTTAAGTTTGTGTGTGTGATTTTTTTTAATGCAAAATAAATCTCATTTAATCCTTAACATAAACTATAAAACAAGTACTGTTATTGTATAGATTAAGATAATACAAGTCTCAAACAGGTTGAATAACTTGCCTGAGCTCATGTAAGTTATTTAAAGTAAAAAAACTTTTGAAGTTATCTAAAATTTATTCAGCAAATATTTAAAAATTCTTAATAAGTATGCAATTCTACTAGAGTCTACAGGGGGAATTTTAACATAATTTTATTTATTCAATGTATATTTATTAAGGACTTAAAATGTTCCTGGTACTACATTGGGTGCTGGGGCTGCATTCAGGGAATGCTAAGTGATTAAAAAGATAGCTTGAGACTCTGAAAGGAGTGATGCAGCTAACATGACCTAGATAGGAGGAAAGAGAGATTTGGGGGGTGGGGGGGTTTAGTGACCAGGCAAATAGAGTGTTTTTGTAGAATAGAGGTTGCCAACTCTTATTTTCTTATTACTATTTTCCTGTAGCAAATTAGAAAATAAGCAGAAAAGAAACCAAGGCTGGAATGAAACCTGGGCAGGACCATAGAAAGGGAAGAAGGGCTCCATCAAAACTGGAAATCTAGGGCCGGCCAAGTGGCGTGGTGGTTAAGAGCTGGCTTGGGACACCAGAGGGCCCCAGTTCGGATCCCACTTATGAGGGCCAGTGACACCGCCCTCTACAGCTAAGATGCTGAACAACAGCTCAACCTGGAGCTGGGCTGCTGTGAGTCGCCAGCTACGGCGTAGGCTGCAGCCCCTGCTGCAGTGGGTTGCCATGGGCTACCGTGTGTAGCCAGCAGCCAGTGTGAGCGGCCAGCAGCCACAGTGAGCAGCCGTCCAGAAGCCGGCAACTGATGTGCCTCACCCAGGAAGAGCTCAATGATGGTGCCAGCTTGGGCCAGTGAAGCCATGTCCTCCACTACTAGACTGAAGAACAAAAGGACAGCAACTTGTCTGTTCCCCTTCCCCCAATTCCCCAGCGCTGTTCCCATCCCCCTAATACGCCAATAAAAATATTTAAAGATTTTAAAGATTTTTTTTTTTAAAAAGTGAATGGTAAAAAAACTATTTAAAAAAAACCCCAGGAAATCTGAAAGTCACTTTTTTTGCAGATTATTCTGTGAACTCCTGATTTTTTAAATGTTGGCAATAATAAAAAAAAAAGAAACCTGTGTAGGCCAAATAGAGTATGTCTGTAAGTGCCTAAGGCTGGATTTGAGCTTAGGAACCATCAGTTTCCAACCCATAATTGGCAGCTCTAGGATTGTTTCTTTTCTTTTTTTTCTTTTTTAATAGTTTTTTGTTTTGTTTTGTTTAATTGGGGAACAGTATGTTTCTCCAGAACCCATCAGCTCTAAGTCAAGTAGTTGTTTCAATCTAGTTGTGCAGGGCGCAGCTCAGCGACCCATGAGGGGATCGAACCGGCAACCTTGGTGGTAGGAGCCCTGTGCTCTAACCAACTGAGCCAACCAGCTGCCCCTACGACTTTCTTTTTTTTTTTTTAAGATTTTTATTGGGGGATGGGGAACAGACAAGTTGCTGTTCTTTTGTTCTTCATTCTAGTAGTGGAGAACGTTGCTTCACTGGCCCAAGTTGGCACCATCATTGCGCTCTTCCCCGGGCAAGGCAGATCAGTCTCCGGCTTCTGAACGGCCACTCACAGCGGCTGCTGGCCGCTCACGCTGGCTGCTGGCTACACACGGTAGCCCATGGCAACCCACTGCCACAGGGGCTGCAGCCTACGCTGTCACCGGCGACTCAGGGCAGCCCAGCTCCAGGTTGAGCTGTTGTTCAGCATCTTAGCTGTAGAGGGCAGTGTCACTGGCCCTCATATGTGGGATCCGAACCGGGGCCCTCTGGCATCCCAAGCCAGCTCTTAACCACCACGCCACTCGGCTGACCCTAGGACTGTTTCTTGATTGTACTGTTCAGCAGTGACTCTAACAGATGTCAATCTAGAGATGGTACCATGAAGGAATGAGAGCTGAGCTGAGCTGAAGGTCTGAGGCCCAACTCTCACCACCCTTCTCTTTTCCAAGTGGCTGTTTTCTGACTGGTTCCATCTTCCATTTGCTCTTTGACAGGGTATGGTGGAGTAAGTGGAGGCAGCGACTGGGACAGGCCTGTGTGGGCCGTGCTCTCCATGCCTCAGCTGTCAGGCACAGGGCCCTGAGCCTCCAGCTGCAGGTGAGTGCCGCAGACTTGAGTTTTGGTGTCCTCTGTCCATGTCGTCAAGCCCACACCCACAGAGGATGGGGTCAGACTCCCATGCAGAAGGCCGGCCATCATGCTGCTGCTTCTCTGCAGGTCCCTCTCGGCTGCTCAGGGGACAAAGCAGGGGTTGGGAGGCAGAAGCAACACGAAAGACCGGGCTCGTCAACAGACAGAGGCTGCTATTAGGAATGTACTAGATTTGATTGTCAGTGGTTTGTAGAGAGCATCAGCTAATTGGAGAACTGGAAAGGGATTTATGAATTAGCTACGAATATGTTTAAAGAAACAGTATATTCTTTATTTCCTCATTACGATTTTTCTATAGCAAATTAGAAAATAATGAGGACAGAAAAGAAACTAAGACTGAAAAGAAAACCTGGCTTCTTTTTTCACATAATTTTGCTTATTTTAGAGGTTTCTTTTGGGAAAGTCAATAGCTTCTGGTCAGTACCAAAACTATGCCGTGGTGATGCTTTCTTATGGCTTTTGATAGGCTCTCTGGATTTCTGTCACTTTTTCGTGTCTATAGGACCACCAAGTCAGTTACAGAGAATACAACAGGGGAGAGAAAAAAAAGAAGTGCCTGTTACTATATGTAGGAGTAACATCTTTTTACTCTGACAACATTTTGCATCATCCATGCAAGTATATGCAGTATATAGAGAGCACATGCAAATATCATATACAGTCATATAGATTGGGGTCAGCAAACTAGTCCACACGTCATATTTGGCCTGCTGTCTGTTGTTGTAAATAAAATTTTATTAGGACATAGTTACACCTGTATAATATACAGCCTCATATATCATATAAGGCTGCTTTCAGACTACAATGGCAGAGTTGAGTAATTGCAGTGGACACCAGGTAGCCTGCAAAGCCTAAAATATTTATAATTTGACCCTTTAAGAAAACATTTGCTGATCTCTGAACTCATAAGGTCTTCTGTGGCAATAGCAAGGAATCGGAGGTCTTGCCAGGAATAACAGTAACACCACAGCAACAGCAATAGCATTCATTGTGGTCTTACCTGTGCTTGGTGCTGACTAAGTGCTTTACATGCATTCTCACTTAATTTTCATAATTCTTTATTTATTTATTTTTTATTAGTTTCAGGTGTACAAAACAATGTTATAGACATTTACACCCCTCACAAAGTGGTAACCCCTCTCCCCCAATCTACTACCCCTCTGACATCATATATAGCTGTTACAATTCCATTGACTCTATTCCCTATGCTGTACTCCACACCCCATGACTGGGTGTGCCAAAAAAATGTATACAAGTGGACACTGGTCAACATTGCTTAAGCAGTAGTTCACCGTAATCAGAAGTGTCTGGA